AATTTTATATATATAAAAAATATATCTACTGTTTCCACGTATTGTTTTTCTTCTTCAACAACTTGTTCTTGTTTACACCCTTTTTCTTCTTCTTTAGGAGGCTGTTCATGAATTTATCATCGAAATCCTGCATCATCACCAAGTAAAAGTTTATGAACAATGAAAGTTCCAAACTAATTAACAATTTCCAAAAAACAAAAAATCAAGAAAAATAATACAGTTAAATTCAAACTTCAGTAACACAATAACTTACCATCTCTTCCCATTCATCAACACTACAAACATCATCCTCTTTCTTCCTCTGCATAATTTTGTTGCTTTCCCTTGCAATTTTCTCATTTATAACCTCTGATTCGACTTTTGAAACTGACGAGGGTCGAAAAGAATCAGTTACGTGCTGGACACCTAAATCAACAGGCTCTTCAACCTACAAAAGCATATAGATCATAGACAACCAAATCAATCATATCCCAAACACAACAAATAAACAAATTATTACAAAATCTTTATAGTTGTAAACGATAACTTGATATTTGTAAGAATATAATCATATATACATATCCTTGAGTAGTTAACTTGCTACATAATTTATATAATTAACCATAAATCACAACTCAACTACAAAAACTAACCAGAATTATGACCTTTACATGTTCTCCGAACCTTTCGCCATCTGGCGAGACCAATGTCCAATACGCAATGTAATCACCGGGAATTTCGGGTGAACTCAAATCGACACGAATATCCAGCTCCTCTCCAACATCCAAACCCGATGCAGGAACCTTAACACGACACAAAAAAAACAACAACAAAATAATTACCAAATAAGGAAAAAATCCAAAAAAAAAAAATTAATAATCACAAACCCAAAAATCGAAAACTTACGGACACATCAACGTATGATTGATCGCTCAACTTGTCGCCACCGAGCCAAACGAGCTGTGTCTTGTGGGCCCAACGGGCCTTACCATTGTTCCTCATTCGCCAAATCTTGGTAAAACAAGTCGAGGGAGCCATGTTATTACAGTTGGTTACGCTTACATCATCGACTAAAACGCTATTTAGCATCGATACGCTATATACTTGCTCTGTTTTGTTCGACTCGTGATCCGAATAAAAGCTAGTCGCTATACAATCCTTCAAATCAAGCCAATCCCATATGCTCGATAGATCATCCGAGTCGATCTTTCGAGCCAGAAAATGCTCAGGATTATGCAAACAGAGTTTCTTATAACAGCCTGTGGAAGTTAACGTGATGAGTCCCCGAGCAGTAGCCGACATTACAGAGCGCGTGCAGGATATGGCAAAAGCTTGGCAGGAGTTGAATTGAATCCCTTTAACAGACGAAAAAAAGCTGTGCCATGTAGAATTTGGTCTATCTTAAGAAGAATTTTTACGTTAAGTTCGAGTTTTTATATATAGACCGATTGTGTTTCAGTAAGTGGGAAAGATTTGAACCCTACTTTCCTATTCCTTTTCCTGTGTAAACTAAGTAACTTACCGTAATTGTGTCCGTGTAGGAATCTATAAACGAAATTTATAACCTATATACATATAAAAAGCTTTGATTATTTTTTAAATAATAATATAGGCTCTGTCCACTCCTCAAAAGTGACCAATTGAGATGTTATTTTGATTTTTTTTTTAAATGATGTTATTTTGATACACGTTATAAATTTAATGAATCCATTTTTGTTGCTTTATTGTGTACATGTTATTATTACTTAATAAATATTACTAATACAATACCCGTGTATTACACGGGTGTTGAATTAGAATTTTTTGTAAAAAATATTAAAATTTTATTTTTTTAAAACTAAAATAATTTAATTTTATATAAAACATTACTTTGGGTTTTAATTAAATTATTAAATTATATTTTTTTAGTCATAATAATTAAACACCCGTACATTAAATAAAAATGTCAACTATGTTGAATTTTTTTACTTATATCATAATAAAATATCGATATTATTTACTATTACATAAGTACAAAAATATATATCTTAAATAAATAGAAATGGTATGGTAATATGTATATGCATAAGTGTATAATATTTTATTTAATATTAAGCAAAATAGATTAATTTTTTTACTTAATTAGATGCCTAATACATCAAGTGCCGTATTAATCGTGCTTAACAGTTTTTTACCTTTATATATAATTTTAATATTTAGATAAATAATTATTTATTTTTATTAGATTGACAACATACCAATTAGATTTGAAATAAATATCATTTTTAAAAGACTACATACCAATTTCGATTACTTTATAATATAATTTATAGTTGATATAATTTAATTTAGTTTAATAAATAAATTTAAAATTTTATTTATAAGGATACATATTAATGTTTTGTATTATATAATATGGATGTCAAATCAAAAATTCTTAAAAGATAGTTAATTTGATGTATCATATATGAAAAATAAAATACAGACAAAAAAATTATAAAATCTTAAAATAAGAAGAAGAAACATTTATAAAAATTAATGAATGAATTATATAAGAAAATGAAATGTGATGTATGGTATGTAGTAAAATGAAACATAAAATAGTTTATGCTAAATAATTGTAGAAGTAAAGAAGGAAACAATCAATAATGGATTTAGTGTAATAAAAAAAATATTATTTTATATCCAAGCCTAACTCCAAAGCATGATTTTTTGCCAAATAGAATTCTGAAGCATGAGAGTTTGTCACTAGGCTCAGCGCATTCTTAAATTATATATAGATGGCATTCATTTTTTCGTGTATTTAGTTACTCAAAATATGGATAATTAAGAAAATAATTAGATTATAAAAATTTACACTTTTAAGATATCCTAATCACGTAGATTGTGTAAATTCGTTTGATTTATTCAATTATAACTTTTCTTTATAAAATTGTTCCAAAATAACTGTGTTCGTAGCAGTTTCTATTTAATTATTTTTAATAATTGTTTTTTGGGTCTTTTATTATTTTTATCTATAAAAAACGTGAGTCTCGATTTTGTTTTGTATGTTGGGCAATTAATTTCGTGGTAAAATTGAATATCATTTTTTTGTATTTTAACTATAAAGTATGAAATCGAATTATTTGATATACTATATATTGATCTAATATACCCGTTTATAATAAAACAAAGGCTATCTCAATATTTTTTTTTCATACTGCTGAGCATTTTACTCGACATCTATTATATGCATCCAAATAACTTATAATATTTATTTTACATATGTGCAAATGCCCAAGGTTGAATACTAGTTAACTAATAATAAAGCCACATTAAATGTTGTTCTATTCTAAATCTTTTTCCAAACTACTTATTTAAATTGTTATTTTTTTTAGTTTGAGAATGATAACGTTAATTTGATATATCATATATATTCTGAATTACATGCAAAATGGGTTTAACGTTGAATGTGTTTCGGTAAGACCATCTCCAACCGAAAAATCCATTCTGAAACCCATTTTGCAGTAACTATCACATCAAACAGTAATTCATCTCCAACCGAAAAATTTAATTTTCAAACCCAAAAGAATATTCCAAGAATATTCTCTCTTTACATCAACTTTTAAACATTTCAATACTACTCATATATTTTACAACTTTACAAATTAGAATATATTAATATTTTAAAATTGATTCAAAAAACAAAAAAATTAAATTAATTTTAAAATTATAATTCATAAGAGCATCTCCAATGCATAATGTTGTAGTGACAAATTACATTTCACATCAACAAATTTATTAATATCACAATTTTCCATCCTCCAATGCACAATTTAATCACAAATGTTGTGATGATGTGGACATAATTAATTTTTACAATGTAGACAAGAATGTGGTTCATCCACATTCTCCTCCACACTCTAGTTAGCCAATGAAAAGAAGAGAGATAATTATTATTACCATTTTTAAACTATTTAATTGTTTAATTAATTTTATTAATTTATATTAAAATTTTAATATTTGGTAAGTAGATAATATGATAATTAGATTACATTGTGCATTGAAGATGATTTTTTAATTAATAGTTGTGAACTCAACATTTATCCTACATGGTTCACAATCTATTTAATTTTTTGACATTTGTCAAAATTTATCCTACAACAACATTAAAGCATGGGAGATGTTCTAAGCATAAAACTACATATATAAATATATTTTTAAATAGAAAAAACAAAGATTAATTTTGGTTTATAATATACTTATTTACACTATTGTTTTAATTTTTATATCAATTGTTTTAACATTTCTTTATTTATAAGGTTATTTTATATAAATTTAGTAATAATATTTTGTTATAATATTTTGGTTAACTATATTATATAAAGTGTTTGTATGAATATTTTTGACAATATTTGAGAAATACTCTTACATTTGTTGGATTATATTTACAATCAAATATTTATATATATATATATATAATAAATTTTCATCATAACAACTTTCATGTTTAACAAACACAAAATTGGCAGCATATATATAATATAATTTTTTACACACATATATATATAATATATATATATATAGGATGTGGTTCAAATGAGAACCAAGTTCTAGCGTGAGAACCGTGAGAACCGCTATTTATAGTTGCAAATAGTGCTATGATTTATTGTGTTTTAATGCTATTTTTAACATTGATTTATTTTCTTAAAAATAGCAACACAATTTATAATAGCATTTGTGACAATGATAGCACCATGTGATATTAAAAATAGCATCATACACAATAAAAACTAGCATCAAGTACGGTTCTCACGGTTCTCACACCAGGACTAGTTTTTATTTGAACCACTCCCTATATATATATATATATATATAGAGATATATAGATATATAAGTAATATATATATATATATATATATATATATATTTTTAGATTTGTAGTACCATTCGAGCCATTTTTCATCCATAATGTGTGTTTTGGGTACGGTTGGAGTTGGTATTTGAATCCTATTTTCCTTTCCTATTCCTATGTATAATAAGTAAGTGTCCTTTTAGAAATCTACTTACTAGTTACAAGATAAATTAAATTTATAATTATACACTAATAGATAACAATTTACAACAGTAATAAAAAAAAAATTAGACATTTTTTTATAAGGAAAAGAGAAAAATATTTTATATTAAATTTCGGATAGTTATAAAAATATTACATCATTATATATATTTAATTTCAAATGAGATTACAATTTACCTCCTAGTATAATATAATAATCTTATTGACTCATCTTAGTATGTAGCCCGCGGAGAAACAATATTACGATTGTATATAAATTCAATATATGAAAACATTAATTATGATTTACCTGTTGTTTTCAAGACGAAACTGGATGGTCGAACCGGATGGAACGGGAACCGATTTATTGATCGGTCATTGTTCTCTTGAATCAAGTGTTCGGTAATGAACCGACATCTATATCTATATATATAATTAATAGCCAAGCATTTAATAAAACTTCAAATTTTTTTCTCCAAAAGACGTTACTTTGCATTAATTGAGTTTTTATAGTTTTTATTTATTTTATTATATAATAACTACTACTAACAAATCATAAAGTCACATTAAACTATATTATAATTAATTTTTTTCTTCAAAATATTTATTTAAATTATTTTTTTTTTTCTTGTTTTAACTCATTAAGCAAGTTTTTTTTATTAACATTAATTATTTTATTTTTATAATATAACCAAACTTTTAAAAATTTCTTACGCAATTGCTATAATAATAATTTCAATATTTTTTTATCTAATCAATTCTTCATAGTTAAAAAATATTGCAAAAATTATATAACTGCAGTCAATATAAAGATTAATATGTAAGTTAATAGTTTATGTTTGTACGTTCATTTTTACTAATGATAAAATTTATAAAATGTGATATGCTCATCATCTAACTTAAGATTTAAATATTACATACACATACATATAACATATAAAAATTTATTTGCAACTGTGCATGTGTACATGATCGAATGCTAGTTACTAGTGAACACCAGCCAGTCGGATTGGTAGGATCGACACAATTTTTGAAATAAATTTTCTTATAGGTAAAATTATTTTTAACATTAAAAATATATATATATATATATATATATATTTAAATAAAATGATTATTTTTAAATTATTTATCAATTAGTTTACTTACTTATTTTTTTAAATTGTTCAAATATTTAATTAATACTTTTTATATAAATTTATTACAAAAAGCACTATATATATTAAAATATTAATAAATTAAATTCTAGTCCAACCAATAATCATTGAACAAATAGCTTGATCGGTTCAATGATGGTGCGGTTATAAGAACCTTAAATTACCATACATTATAATACAATAGCTTTTTATTCACATAAATATTAATAACATGATATATAAATATTCATAAATCGTTGAACATGTTATCATAACAATATTTTTAATATGATTATTTGGAGCTTGGACTAAAAATATTTTTGATATTAAAATTTATATTTATTTTCAGAAATTGATTTGGTATGGTAAAAGTGACTCATAACTTGGTCACCCGAGATCAATTCTAATTGTGTAATTTTTTTTTTGACTATTTTTAAATATAATATAAAAGTAATTTAATCAACCTTGCCAGTAACAATTCAGTCACCCGACTCATCCAAAGAAAATTCCTTATTTTCTTACATATATTTAATTTATGAAATTTAAATTATTTTATGATCCATGTAGTAAACGTTTATAAAAAATGACAATGTATTAAATATAAATTATATATCTAAATATAGATCAACTATTTCTTACTATATGCATATTTAAAAAAAAAAAACAATAATTTTTAAAAATATAAAATTAAATGACTGATTATGCAATTGACATGATGACGTGATAGCAGCATGAGTTACTACATAGCATGTATATTTTACATATCAATTAATGTTTTTGAAGTATGTTATTCACAAGTTATTAAATATTGTAAACAATGGTGTTATTACAAATGAATTGCTTTTAAAATAAATTATATTCTTATATTTCATATATATAACCTAAGACAAATTGTTGTAACTATTATTTTATACATAGTTAAATAATTATTTATAATTGAATTTGAGTAATCATGATAGTTATATATAAAAAAAAAACTTATTTTCTTTATGCTTTTAAAGAAAGATTTTTTCCGATAAAGTATAGAATTCTAAAAAGTAAAAAGGTGAAAAAATATTAAAAAAAATTACAGAATGTCATTTCCAGTAAGTTAAAATGTTTAATGAAAAATTACACATATTATTTCAATATTATTTCAAAACAACATGCCAAATCTTTTTATACATATAGAATTATGTAACATTTGAAACCAAGTTTACCCAACTTTAGTATACCTTTCTAACAATGTTGCATGCTTGTTTATCAATTATTTCACTCGCATTTAATTCATACTCAAAATCTAATTCAATTTTAACTCAACTTCATTATCTTTAATATTATTCGTATAATTAAATAATATAAACCAATCATTCTTACACATCACGTCAACATTAATCCGCTCACATAATTTTAACCACCTATCACTACCAATCATTTACAATTATTTATCTTATAATTTTATATCAAATCAATTATAATCATTTTATTTTAAATATTATTTTAATACATTCTTAAAATCCCACTAACAACTAACCATACTACATTTTTTAAAATTAACTTTAGTTAATCAAAATAACTCATTTTGGACGAATTATGTTGTAAACAAGCGAGCCCTAAGATTTGAACCCAAGTTTACACAACTTTAGTAAGAAAATTAAAAGGAACCAACCTACACATCTAACTAGCACAATACTATTACATGAGCGATAGAATTTAAAAAATTGTCAACAAATATGTGAAAGAAGATTACAGTCACTTGCAAAGACACTATCGGATACTATCAGACATACTAGAATCTAATCTATATCTATATAAAAAAAATTAATTATTTTTTAAATAGTAACTATTTTCCTTCAAAAGAAATCTATTTACTATTTTAGGAAATTAATTTAACAATTTATGGTATATTTCAAATAATCATTTATGAAAATTGCGGCTTATTATTTAAGGAAATAGTTAGGCCATACAAAAATATATTTTTAAGATACCTTAATTGCTCAAATCATTGACTTTGGCTGATTTACTCAAATATGGGAATTTCGGCTACAATATCAATTATGTGATTTGGTAGAAAATTTCCAACTAAATTGTGTAATTTATTATTTAATAAGGATTTTTATCTTTTTCTTGTAATTCTTTTGTGTTATGCATTTTTAATATACTTTAATATGCAAATTGTGTTAATTCGATTGATTATTCAATTGGCAAATAATTACTACAATTATGAAAATATCAACAACAATAATCAATTATGCGAAAATTGTTCTAGAAAAATGTGTTAATAAAAATTTTTATTTAAATATTATTCATTTTTGTGTATTTAATTACTCAAATCGTGGATAATTAAGGAAATAATTAGACCATAAAAATTTATATTTTAAGATACCCTAATTACACAAATCGTGTAAATTCGGTTGATTTATTCAATATTTTATTATAAAATTATTTTAAAATAATTGTGTTAATGGTAGTTTCTATTTAATTATTTTTTAATAACTATTTTTTGGGTCTCTTTTTTATTTTTTATCTATGAAAAATGTGGGTCTAAATTTTGTTTTATACGTTGCGCAATTAATTTCTTTGTAAAACTGAATATCATTTATATTTTATAGATAAAGTATGAAATCGAATTATTTGGTATCCTATATATTGATCCAATATACCCGCTTATGTTAAAATATGTGCAATATAGATTATGTGATTTGGTAAAAAAATTTCAACTAAATTGTATAATTTATCTTTTGATAAGTGTTTTATATTTTTCGTGTAATTCTTTTCTGAAATACATCTTTAATATACCTTAATTACGCAAATTGTGTAAATACGACTGATTAAATGTTTGTATGAACTTGAATCACATTGTAGTCAAATCGAATTATTGAATAAAAATTTTAAAATGACACCTATTTTAAAATGGATATAATGTAATTTATTATCAGTTACTTGTACCGTACGGGTCGTGTACTAATTTTAAATAGACATGTTAATTTTGCACAATTTAAATTTTATATAACATTTTCAACAAATTAATATAGGTAAATTGTATTAGATATTGGGTCCATATTTTTAATTTATAAATATTATTTCATGAGCATTTTTAATTTATAAATATTAAGAAATATTTCTTAACCATGCATCGCACGAGATTTGTACTAGTTCTAATTACAGGTGCAAATAGACTTTTAACATCTCAAACGCAGACATGAAAGAATGCAAAATACCGGTAAAACTATACAAGAAAGTTTGGAAAAATCTCCAGATATGTTTAGTTTATCTCCAAGAATATCAAACCCCAGCTAATTACCGTGCATCCGATTGGCCATCGTCGACAAAAAGTATAAACAAACCAATAAAAAGCCGAAATACAGACATAGGAGTTTGGCATCTGGTACAAAACTTCATGCAAATTAAGCGAAAAATGTGGAGAATTGCAAAAAAAAGTACCAGTAAGGCAGTAATGCCCAGTTTAGTTACAGGGAAAAAAAAAAAACACGGGTATCTCCCAAAATTACAAATACCCCTCTTCAAATCTGCATCAATCTCAAAAACTGTACCTTTAAATTGTTTGACAAACACAAAGTAACTGATAACTAAACCCCAACATGCTGTTCTAGCTAGTGAGCATCCAGAAAATTAAATAAATTTTGGGACTCAAATTATAGCTGCTGATTCAGGTAAGAGTCAGCATCCGATTTCCCCCCTTTTCCCAAGTATCCCGAGACGGTCCCACTAACATTCGAGACAAAGTTGTTCAACCAAGACGTGCTTCTGGTCAACAAACCAGCTTGCGCCTCATCCTCAACAATTTGCGCGTTTTTCTCATCTTCCTGCCTCAGTATCTCAATCCATCTTTTAGCCATGTAAGCCTTAATAGCTTCAACCCCTTGGGCCACAACCTCCTTCGGAGGCACCACAAGAGGATTTTGGTCAACGTTGAGCTTGGTCAAACTCGAGAGCCGGCCAAATTTGTCGGGCAGCGCGTGAATCTGGTTGTTGCTCAAGTCGAGTTCTTTGAGGTTCGTAAGGTCTGTGATCGTGTCCGGAAGTTCAGTCAAGTCACTGAAGTTGCTGCTGAGGTTGAGTATCTCGAGGTTGTTCAGTTTCCCGATTGAATTCGGGAGGCCATGGAGCTCGTTAAAATGGACGTCTAAAATGCGCAGGGATTTCATCTCACCAATTGATGTGGGCAGTGAACGGATCTTGTTTAGGTTGATCGAGAGACGTTTGAGGTTTTTCATTTCAAGCCCGATGTTTGTTGGGAGGTATGTGAGTTTGTTGAAACTCGCGTCCAGCTCGACCAATAACCTAGGAAAATAAGATGGACATAATTCGGTAAGAACGAGTCGTGGGAAATATATTACTAGTAATAATTTTGGAGGTAGTTTAGAGTTTTACATGCATTGACAAATACTGTCCGGTAGGGTAGTGAGCTTGTTTCGAGAGACATCCAAGATTTTTAGCTTAAACATTAGACCGATGGAATCGGGCAGCGACTCTAAAAGATTCGATGAAAGATAGAGCTCCTCGAGATTTTCTAGTCCAGCTATTGAATCAGGAATTACCTGTTGGGCAAAAAAGGTATCCAAATGTTAGTGAAGTGCTCAGTTGTACAAAAAAATTACACAATTTATATTTTGTCAAACAACAAAGTTCATTATTAGCTTTCAATAAAAACAAAGAGGAGAGCAAGAAACTATTCTCTCCAAAGATAATGGAGGGGGAAATGAAAAATCAAACAGTCACTCCCTTAGAAAGCTGAATTTTATAATCACATACATTGCCTTCCAAATCTATTATATAGTCCCATCACAAGAGAAAGTTACATAGTGTTGATTCACAAAATTAGGACACGGAAATTCATTGCAAAGAAGAGTATTTTACATGCATTTAAAGATTTTCATATTNAAAAAAAAAAAAAAAAAAAAGATTTTCATGAAACTCGCTCAGAATAGCAAAATCATACTCCCTAAGCGAGGACCCAAACCAGGGCAACCTTGAAAACACATGAGGATAGTATACCAAATGTCAGAACCGTATAGAATCCAAACAAAAAATGGTTCTTGTCGAGGTTTTACTAAACTACTTAAATTACTGCATTGTAAGTAATCATAATCATTCCAATCAATGGAAATGCTTATTTGGCATCTTCACTCAAAGATATCCAAAACTTATTAGTGTACTTTTGTCTGTAAAACACTACAACTACACTTTAGCCACCAAATATTATAGGAGCTGATTAACTGCTTAGCGCTTTCGTACGTTAGCCCAGCCATCATCCCCTAAACCCACATGATTTAGCTAACAATGAACTATAAAATCCCTCAGCAAATCCAGATAATATAAGAGGAAATGGACCAAAAAAAAAAACCAACATCTATTCACACACGACTTCAGTTTAACAACATTTAAGGCAGCAAACCAAATCAATCTATTCAAGCTCATAAACTCGAGATTTTAGCACTCATATCAATTAAACCTAACCTCAAGTTGATTATCAGTCAAATTCAGCACAACCAACGACTTCAACCTCCCAAACGCCTCCGGAAGGATCCTCAGCCCTCTCTCAGACAAATCGACCTTCTCAACCGCCTTCCCGGACTCCGCCTCCTTCAAGATCGCCACAACTTCTTCATTGATTTCCTCTTCCGCCGCATCCCCATCCTTTCCCTCGCCTTCCTCCTCAACCGCCTCCGCCCCAGACAGCGCAGCCTCATAGATCTTCTCCAGCCGCCTCTCCGCCTCGCTGAGCATCTTCTCGTACGCCACGTGCATCTCCTCCAGCGATATCACCGCCTTATAGATCCCGCACTCTTCCTGCACCTCCGCCGAGTCATTGGACGAGTGGGCCTCAATCTCGGCCAGCCTCAGGCGAGCCGCGTCGACGGTCTCGTGGTCGGGCCGGGTCCCAAGGGCTGCGAGGGTGGATCGGGTCTGCACAACGTCGGTCACAGCGCGGCGCATGTCGGCGATGAGCTTGTGGTTCTTGAGGTGCGGCATCCGCTCGGTGATCTCAAAGTGAGGCTCCTGCGGCTTGGGCGTCGCCTCCGGCGGGTTCTCGACGTCGAGATCGGCGGCGGAGGAGGAGTTGCGCTTGAAGGTGGGCAGCTTGTCCATGACGTAGGATAGAATCGGGAAATTCTTTGGATTTGGATCCATCGCTGATGATTTTTTTTCTTTCTGTGCGTTTTTGGGAAGCTGGGTTAAAGATTAGATTCGAAGGGAGTGCGTAGAGTTGACGAGCTAAAATTCCATATTTTTTTCATTTTGTATATTATTATTTAAAAAAAAACAAAAAAAAAAACAAACAAACTTGGCACTTAGACTATCTTTATCCCCAACCCAACTCAACTCAACCCAATAATAAAAAATTATTTCTCTCTCTTCTACCTACACAATTCAACTTATAACAACATACATATCTTTATTCGCAACCCAATCCAATCCAACCCAATCCAACATAATATTTATTTATTTTTATTTATTTATTAAATATTATTTACAATACATTTTTTGGTATTGTTTTATCTATAATCCAACCCAATATAATAATTTCAATTGTGTTCAAAAACATATCAAGAGTGGTCTCTATTTGTAGAGAATGAAACAATACAAATTTTGATATTTTTTATTTTATTTTTTAATATAAAATAATATCAATAATTTGAGTTATACTTATCTAATCATATAAAATTAATAGTGCCCAATTGAAATGGGACAAGTGTCCCAATTCTCTCTCCCTTTATCCAAAAAGAATGAAAAAAAAAAAATAGGAAAGAGCGTGGGAAGGTGGGAAAGGATATAAAATAGAGCTAGGAAGGTGGAAAGGACCGGTTGCGACCCAAGGTCACAATCTGACCTGGGTCGCCTAATCTGCTGCTCCTTTATTTTTTTTTTTGATTTTTTTTTTCTGTTTTTTTGGTCCTTTTCCTGGTGACCCAACCTAACGGGTCACCGATAAGGATAGTCTTAAACAGTTTAATGGTTTAAACATTTGAAAAAAAAATCAAAATTTTTACTTCAACTACATTCTACACATAATTTTATAATTTTATTAATTCAAGTCATGTTTTTTTATTTTTTCAAATCAAGACACTGGTAAAAGAAATAAAATATTCAACTTTCATTATAACATAAATGATGAACAAATATCTAACAGTTTAATCATCACATACCACAATTTTATCATTGTAAGTCACAAAAGAACAAAGTTCGGTCAAGCACAAACCTATTCTCTCCGGTCACTTCATTCGTCAATACAATGACACAATTTAAAACTATAATTGGATGGACCGACCTCTTTTACAGATCGAGTGATATGGTTGTAAGACCTAATAGCTCGGAAGTTGAGATGACCTCTTTGTGGCTCGGATATGGTGATGACCATTAAACAGTGCATATAATGGACTCACAGACAAATTACATGTGCTAGACCTATTGGCCATACACCTTTATGGGCTATAGGTGATTGACCTATTGACCATATGTATAAGGGACCTAAAGACGGCACATAGGGGTGGCCAGTCAACGGGCCACAGCCCGGCCCGGTCCCGGACCCGTCCTGGCCCGACCTCGACCCGGTCCCGGCCTGGTCCCGGACCGCTGGGACCAAAAATGTAAAACCGAGACCCGTTTCTGACCCGTCCACGGTTACGGGCCTCGGAACCGGCAACCACGGGCCGGTTGCGGGCCGAGCCGGGACCGGGACCACGGGCCGGTCCGGCCCGTGGCCATCTCTAACGGCACATATTATGAACCTACAAATAGACTATATACTGGGAACCTATGGGTAGCTTATATGATTGTGGGCCTATAGACAATTAGGGCATCTCCACCAATCAACCAACATTATACCACCTTTTAATGCCACGTCACTATTCCACTATCAATCATCTTTTTTACATTTTCTCCTCCAACAATTTTACACTCACTACCCAAATAGCCTTGGACCCACAACTACCCCACCATTACTATCCCAATTTGACTAAATTAATAAATACAAATGTACTATAATCTTGGACCCACAGTGCCCCATTTTTTTACCGTTGAAGGCAGAAGAAACGGTGTAAAATTTTACACCTTCTCCACCAATAAAGTCAAGTATAATTCTGACCACTACCCAAATAGCCTTGGACCCACAACTACCCCACCATCACTATTCCATTTTTATTAAATTAATAAATACAAATATACTATTATCTTGGACCCACAGTGCCCCATTTTTTTACCGTTTTTTTTTTTCTTTTTCGAAACGATAGATTCATTAACTAAAACACATATTACAACCGACTAAATAGTCGGAATAGGAGGACTACACTAGGCAGCCTAGAATCCACAACACACCCACAAGACGAAAAAGAGAAAAATAAAACTCCCCACAGGAGAATACACAAACTCCCCAAAGGAGAATAACACGCTCCCCAAAGGAGAGAAAACAAAACACATTACACACAAACAAACACCCACAAAACACAAACACACAAAACACAGCCTAAACAAAAAACTACAGCCCTTCTCACAGCCGGGTACACACCAAGAAACTCCAACAACAACATTGAAGGTCGATCCCCCAAACAGACCGGATCTCGCCCCAAGCCCCAGAACCCGAAACTGCAACTTGCGCGCCTAACTGGATCTAAATCCTAGAGCTTGTTGTAATAATTTTAACCGGAGTAGAATCGAAAGATTCGTTCCCCGGGTCGTATCGCAAGGAAGGTTAGCCGGATATAATTGTTCGATTATTCAATCACAAAAGAAGATAAAAATCCTAAACACTCTAATTCAATGATTTGGGTTTCAATTATCAACTACCAACTTTAAATTAAATAAAGCACGAAATGAACAGTAACGAATTAACTGAGAATTTAAAGAGCTAGGGAATCGGGGACAATTGCTTTCGGTTCTTACACAATTACCGGCAATCAATTGCTCGGTTAAAGGAAGTGAATCGACTCTCGTTTAGAGGTTCACTCTCAATAACTCTTCGTAACAAGAGAGTGAACATATACGATTGACTATCAAATCCAGCAACTCATAGACAATACTTTGACGAACAAGTCTATTCTAAACGAGCCTAAATCGACCAATGTCTCCCCTTTCGGTTCTAAACAATGATTAACTAGGTTATATAGGTGATCAATCTATTAACCCTAAATTGAACTCAACTCGCATAGATATGAACAATTAAGAACAAGCAACTATAATTGAACCTAATCAATTATCCCCTATCCCTAGCAGATGGATTTAGCTACTCATAATGGATTTGATCACACAAACATTCATAACCCAAGACATCATCATCAATAAAAGAATTGAAGAAAAATACTTACAATTAATGAAAATTCTGAACCCCAATCCAATAGTATCCGAATCCAAAGCAAGATAAGAGAGGTTTTTAATCTCTAAAATCGAATCCCAAGAGCAAAACAATTCAAAAGTGCGAAGCAAGAAAAGGAATGGTTTTTTCTCCAGAGGGAACGTAAAAATAAAGTTGGAATGGTGAATGATAAACCTAGGATCAAAAACAGCATTAAAAATCCCGCTCCTCGAAAAACGCGTCGGTAAGTCGCGAGTCGCGAGATGGTCTTTGTCTTGGTCGCGAGTCGCGACTTCCTCGCGAGTCGCGCGTCGTCTTCTTCTTTAAATTCAGGGGCTTGGTCGCGACCTGACTCGCGAGTCGCGACTCCATCCCGCGAGTGGCGACCTCGACTCGCGAGTCGCGACGTTCTTCGGAAATCTTCTATAGCTTCAGTTTTCCCCGCGAGGCGCGACTCATTCGGGAGACGCGACTCCACTCGCGAGTCGCGAAACATTCTGCGCATGGTTCTGTCCGTTTTTCGGTCCTCTTCGTCGTCTTCTTGGCTCGGCCAATGGGAATTCTCAATATCCTGGTCTCGGCTCAAGCAGTTCCATCCTCGACCGACACAACCTACCTCCTGAAAACACAAATACAGAAAAACACGAAGCAAAACACGACAAAAAGATACAAAAATATAAACTAAAGACAAAAACACAAAACGAACGAAATGGACCAAATAAACTACAAAAAACCTACAAATGGAGGAAAACAAAAAGAAAATAAACATGAAATAAAGACACAAAAATGGGACAAACAGAGCTCAACCCCGCATCCAGGTAACCGACCCCACCATCAGCCGGAGAAAACTGAGCCACAACCCCACCACACCACCACGGTCCCGAGCCCAGCCCACACCACGGATCTAAGCTCGACACGCCGGTCGTCCCCTCGACCATGCACTAGCGGCAAAGGAAACAAGGGGAAGAGCTCTCCTCTCCCCGACCACGCACCACCGTCGGGGCCACAGCCATCCTCCCGGAAGCATCGGCGCCCGCCACAGCCTCTCCACCCCGGCGATTGACGACCACCACACCCGGAAAGGCGCCAAGGAGAACCGGCGAAGACCTCCCGCAGCTCGTCACCAACCCTGCCGACCCGAGAGAGCGGAAAACCAGCACCACAGGGAGTAGGTTGCGCAGCCATTGGTGTGCCGCCGTCAAGGAGCCCGGCGGCCGGCTGGAGAAGGCGAAATTGGCGAGGAAGGCGAACGAGGGTTACGAAAGGTGGATTTGGGGATTTTAGGTTTAGAGAGAGAAAGTGTTGATTTACCATTTTTTTACCGTTGAAAGCAGAAGAAACGGTGTAAAATTTTACACCTTCTCCACCAATAAAGTCAAGCATAATTCTGACATTGAACTGATATTACACCTTTGTTGGAGTTGCTCTTAGAAGAATTATAAGGAAACATTCTTGATTAGGACATTAGGAATAGACGAGGATGACATGTTTTGTTGATGACGTGGAAGTGCATTTAGGAAGACTCTAGAACATCTTAAGAGATAAGATTGGGTCTAAGGAATACCTTAGGGTAACAAGATAATTGTCGGTAGGGATGCAAACGAGTCGAGCCGAGCCGAGTCGAGCATTGGCCTTATCGAGCATGATTGAATTTTTTTTTTTAGCTGCTCGAGCTCGTCGAGCTCGATTTAAGAAGCTCGAGCTTGACTCGATAAGAAAATACAATAGCTCGAGCTCGACTCAAAAATTTTAAGTGAAATTATCATTGAACTGACATTGAACTGATATTACACCTTTGTGGGAGTTGCTCCTAGAAGAATTATAAGGAAACATTCTTGATTAGGACATTAGGAATAGACGAGGATGACATGTTTTGTTGATGACGTGGAAGTGCATTTAGAAAGACTCTAGAACATCTTAAGAGATAAGATTGGGT